CGACAAGAAGCACTGAAGATGAATCATTCGGAATCGAAATATGGCCTTATTTGCAGCATGAATTCGAAAAATAAGTTTATTTTGAATTTTAATAAACTAAACGTTCACCAAAAAACTTTAGTGAGAAAAATCGAAAAAACGAACTACAAACATATTAACGCCAAACATTCGGTAGAATTTATAGAATATTGTAAAATATATATATATATGTATATATATATGTGTGTGTGTGTATTTATATTTATATATTATATATATATATGCAGTTGTTTAAAAAATATATATAGAGCATTTTTGTGTGTCTGTTATCAAGCGTATGTTTCTTAGTGACTGAACATGCTTCTACACCTGAATCAGCATTCATTAAAAATGTTTTATCACATATGAACCTGGGTGTGTTTGTGTTGTACCTCTTGTAGAAACTCATCGATTTTTGCATAGGCATTCACGCTTACATACATCGAATATATGTTTATATATATATATATGTATACACATAAATATAAATATAATGTAAATATTCCTATTAATGAATGTATGATTAATCAACAGTTCTCATTTAGAGACATCGTTGAAGCGCTCGAAGTAAATATAACATTTCTGAGATTAAATGCATGGAATGAATAAAATTTTGTGTTGAATGAATTTTTAACCATGGCTTTTCAGTTTTTATCTGATTTAACAAAAAAATACAACAAAGTTAATTATTAAAAAAACTATAGCAGCAAAAATAATATCCACATTATTGGATTAATCGTAGCGAAGGGTAATATTATTGAAAGAGTACCAAAAACCGTAAATTGAACTACGTTACTTACAGATTCCTTGAGGACAGACCTGGAGGGAACGAAAATAATTCTATGTACCAAATAAATAAACCGACAAGTATTTCAGTTTTATTATATTTACTATTCAGCTTTTAGCCATTTTAATTAAATAAAAGTTTTTGACGAAATATTATATATATATATATATATATCACTGATAAAAATTACAGCATGTTCTGCATTAGTTAGCTTCCTGTTAAATTTTTCGATTTTTCTAACGGTGGAACGTAAATCAGTATAAAGTTTCTTGAGTTCAAAACTAAAATTTTTATTTATTTTAGACATGAAAAAAAGCTTTTTTCACAAATGTTCTTGTAGAGGACAAAATTAATATAATAATAGATAGAATAAACGTTGTTAAAAGACATGATAGACAATTTTAGACATATTAATTTTTTTGGCTGATTATTTAGGTTTTAATGCCATCAAAAACAAAAACAATGGCCCCTAGTCCCCAGCAGGCCTTAAGTGGTCAAGGGGTGCTAAGA